CTACTGTGAGACAGACATGAGCCAAGATGCCATTAATAACCTGACCCTCCATACGCCCCTACTCTGACTGGTGGGCCACAGTGATATTTTGGGTCTCCTGGAATTAGTGTCAGTTCATAGCCAGTATCCAGTAATCTCCAAAAAGTCTGATCATTTCCTTTTCCCCAATGAACAGTCACTCTTGTAAAAGGCCATAGATCCCTTTGGGTAAGGCTGGGAGAAAGATTAACAGTAAAAATTTTTGGCAGTGAACTGGAGTCCTTCCTCAAGGGAAAACAGCCTCCTCTTCATTCAAGGGGTTGTGAGTCTTCAAACTCGTTCAAATCTGGGAATTTATTAAGGGACCGTGACTCTCTATTCTGGCAATTTGAGTTAGACTACTGTTCAACTTACCTAGAATCCATCCATTTGTACAGGTTAAGTAAATATTTAGTAGATTTCCTATCTATTTCACTCCTAGGGACACCATGACTAAGTAGCCAACACGAGTCCATATGAGTCAGACTATTCCGATTACTGCTTTGACTTCACTGTCCATTACTGTAACCACAGTTACCTTTTCTTTGTCTGTTGAGTGCAGCCACTTGGCCTCTACTACCATGGTGTCCAATCAGCCCATTGTAGTTAGGTGTCTTAATTCAGTTAGGGCAGTTCCCACTATCAAATCTGATTTACATAACGTATCAATCACAGCAGTCTTCAAAGATGCTGGAGCTCCCTTCACAAATTTTTTCCTCATAGTTGTGGTAAAAGGTGTGTCCTCTGGGCACTCCATGTGTGGGTATGTGGCTCTAACCTGATAAATCCACTCTAGCATGCCAATTTCCCTAAGCCTTTGGATACCTTCTTCTACAGTATACCAAGGCTGGTCTGCTACTTCAACTTGACTTAGTGTAGGCTACCTCATAATCCATGCTTCAGCAACTCAACCAAATAAACTATTAGATCCTTTCCTAACTTCTTGAGCTGAAACACTGAATGCTAAATTTGTGCCTAGTGGACCCATATCAATAACTCAGACTGATACATCTTTATGTTCCTCGCACCATTATCCCACTCCCTTAAAAGCCATTGCCACACATATTCTCCAGGTTTCTGTCTGTATATATTAGAAAAGTCAAGTAGTTCTTTTGGAGTGTAGCGTACCTCCTCCTCGGACACACTTTGTACTTCACCTTTTGGGGTACCCTGGGACTTCAGTCTAGTTATAGGTGTAGAAGCCAGAATGTGGAATTGTTTTGAGAACATTCAGCATTGTCTTATAAAGCGTGTGCCTCAGGCGATGCTCCAGGCAATGACTCAGGCAAGGGCTCTTTAGAGGCAGCTGGGCTAGGGCTAACCTCATTAGATGGGAGTGAAGAAGGTAATGGTTTTTCTGGGCAGGGTGGTTTAACAGACAAACATGAAGTAATCTCTTCAGATGGGAGTGGTTCTGCTGGCAGGTGTGAGTCAATGGAATTTAGGGGCTCTGTGTCCTCAGCTTCCTGATTATTTGCTGACATGTCCCCACCGCAAGTTTCAGGATCCCAATTCTTCCCAATCAATGCCCTTACGTTAACTTCAGACACCTCTTGAGGTTGGCAATTGAGCTGGCGTTGTAATTCAGCCACTCTTACAATAAGACTCTGGGTTTGGTTTTTGGCAATTTCAGCTCTGTTACTACAAGAAATAAGGCTTTCTTTCAAAGCACAAGTGGAAGCCTTGAGGTCATGTATGCGGCACTTGAGCCTTGACTCTGAAGCCCTGAGTGCATCTCTTTCACCAGTTTGTCTAGCGAAAGTAGGATCAACCAACCAGCTTCCTTATACTTCTCATTCTGACAAAACTGTAGAAAGATACCACACGTGTTCACCCCGAGCCTCGCCTTTCACCAATCCCTGATCTACTGGTGGTGATATTTTGCGTATTTGTATTGCCACTTCACTCCATGGATTAGCAGTGCCGTCTTTACTGCTGGAAGCAGAGTCATCAACATCTTTAAGACTAACCAGACTTGAGAACCAATTTAGAAAACTTATCCTTACAATTTTGTTTCTCCAGAACCTCCCCACTCTCGGTACCAAATGTCTCGGGCTGGGTTCTCTAGAGCAGCAAAACCAGTAAAGTGTATAAATATATCTAGAGAGAGGTTTACATGAAGGAAACGGCTCATGGGATTGTAGAGGCTGGAACATCCCAAGTCCATAGATCGGGATAGAGGCTTCTCCTGATTCACTTAGCAGCAGGGGCCGGTGAACCCAAGATTGGCAGGTCAAAGAGCAGGGCTCTTGCTCACAGGCTGTGAAGATCGACGAATCCCAATATAGGCAGATAAGCTGATAGCTCAAGTCCCAAGAACCAGAGGTTAGACAAACAGGAGGCAGCCGCAGGATCCAGAGTGAACAAAAAGCCAGACTGGTTATATTCAGATGCAGGCCACACCCTCAAGGAAACGCCCTTTCAACTGACTGGCTACTCACAGCAGATTCCATTATGGGAGTTATCACATATAAACACTTAGAATAATGGCCCAGCCAAGTTGACGCACCATCTTAACCATCACACACACATACAAATACATAGATACCTATCAGTCAGGGTCCAGTCAGATGACAGAAACCACCCATCAATTTGAACAAAGAAAGTTTCATTGAGATTTATTAACTAGTAGCAACAAACTAACTGCACAGGGGTAAGGGAACCGGAGCCAGGAAGAGAAGTCACTTTTCCTGCAGGGCCCCTCTGTGCCTGGTACCGACAAACCTTCCCACCAAGCTTGCTGCAAAGGAGAAATGTCCACAGGGTCCCGCCCTCAGCCACAGAGCTGAGGCAACTCACTGATAACAGCACTATTTACATACACATTTACATGACAACATGTTTACACATATTTGTATTAAAAAAAGTCAAATATCATTAATCTACATTTGCCTATAGTAGTATAAATATATACATATATACTATGAGGCTACAGATTTTTTGCAAAAATTTAAAAGTATAGAACATTTTAAAAAAACGTTGCTGTTGAGCCGATTCTGACTCATAGCGACCCTATAGGACAGAGTAGAACTGCCCCACAGGGTTTCCAAGGAGCAGCTGATGGACTCGAACTGCCGACCTTTTGGTTAACAGCCAAACACTTAACCACTCCGCCACCAGGGCCCTGAAATAGAACATTAGAATTACCTATATCACTAGCCCCAGAACTAACAACTGTTCATATTTGAATAGGTGCAGCCTGTAACAAGTGACCCTGGTGTCACTTTATACAGATACTCTGTTTGCCATTAAGATTTCAGAAACGAGTATTAGTTAATCTTCCAACATAGGAAGAGGGAGGGAGACGACATTCCTTTGGCACAACCATGATGCTCAAAACTTAGTTAGGAATCCAAGAAACTTAACTTCAGAAATATAGTAATTTCTAGAAGCTAATAGCTTTGAGAAAGAAATGTCTATTTATGGACGTTCCTTAGAAATCAAGTCATCACAAGAAATGATCAAAGAGCCAATCTGTGAACTGCTCACACAGCCCCTTCCTGGTATGTCTCCATCCTTTCTAGGGAGCTAGGACAGTCTAAATGCAGCTGGAACCACCACCTTCTCCTTAAAATTCAGGGATAAAAATCCAAATTCATCTCTTTCTCTCACTCCCAGGATGCCTTCCTGGTCTACCGACCACACCCCCATTCCAATAACATAACAAGTAGACCAAGATCAGTATGTAAAGAGACTAAGAAATGTCAAGATAAATATTTAATGTAAAATGAGATTGCCAGAATTTCAACCTTTGCTGATTACTTAGCTGCCATTCACTGAGCACTTATGATGTGTGGACATTCAGCAGATTGGGCTCTGACTAATCCCACAGCCCATCATGTAGATACTAGAACTATGCCCACTCTACAGATAAGGAAACGGAGGCTTCAGGAAAGCAATGGCGGGGAGCAAGGACTCAGATCAAATGAGCAGGCTCTGAGCACAGCCTGACAGCTATGATGGTCAACTTTTATAGTTGGTGTGGACACTGGAGGATGATAAATAACCCTAATCATTAACCTTGCTTCACTGACCATTCCAGGATGGCATCTGTCTTAGGCTGGGTTATACAGAGAAACAAAATCAGTGAAGCATATATATACACATATATACATATACTTACATATATACACTTAATGTGTATATATGTATATATACTTCTATATATATAGTCACATATATTTATATATATACACTTGGGGGGGCGGGGAGGGGAGACAGAGAGAGAGATTTATGCCAAGGAAACGGCTCATGCAGTTGTAAAGGATGGCAAGTACCAAGTCCATGGGTCAGGCATCAGGCTGGAGGATTCTCCTGACTCACGTAGGTGCAGCGGCTGATGAATCCAAGATCAGCAGATTAGACATCAAGTTGCTGGCTCCAAGGCTGCTGGCTCTGATGAACCCAAGACTGGCAGGTCAGACAGCAGGCTGCTGGCTCACAGGCTGTGGAGGCCGATGAATCCCAAGATCAGTAGGTATGATGGCAGGCCGCTGGCTCAAGTCCCAGGCACCGGAGGTCAGATGATGACGAGGCAGATGCAGGATCCGGAGCAAGCAAAAGCCAGCGAGCTTTGCCAGAACATCCATATATATTGGATGCAGGCCACACCGAGGAAGCTTCCCTTACAACTGATTGGCTGATCAAATCAGATCACATTGTGGAGGTGATTACCTTATATCACAAAATGGAGGATAACTACATCATTACATAACTTCCAAAACACTAAAAATCATGGCCCAGCCAAGTTGACACACAACCTTAACCATCACAGCATCTCACCTCATCCTTCCCTCCCAACCTCACGTTCTCCGCTTCAACCATAGAATTATCTTCTCCAAGAACATACCTTATTCCATGAACCCAACAACTGGAAGCTAGACGCAACTCAGAGAAGGGCAAGCGTGCACTGCCAATCATTGTAGGCCTGCCAAGGCCAAGCCCCAGCCCACACCTGTCCACACAGCTTGGGCCTGCCTCACCTGCCGGAAGATGTAGCTCGCCAGGGGCTCGTCCAGGTTGGGGTGCTGGTCGATGAACGCGAAGAGGTCCAGTCCGGAGCCATGCTTTTCCATCACCAGCTGGAAGAACCCTTGATTCTCAAACACGTCCAGCACCTAGGGAGAGAGGGTCGAGTCCAGCTCTGGCGAGGTGCCTTGAAGGTCAGCAGGTTTAAGAAGCGCCCCCTGCGCATCCTGAGTATCGCTAGACAAGACATCATTTCCACCTTGATGATGTTGGCGTGCTCCACCCTCAAGAGGATTGCAATCTCTAGGGTCACTTTTCCGAGTCTGGGATCCTCGACCCAGCAATCCTCCAAAACCTTCTCCTTCTTAATAAACTTCACCACAACCTGCAAGGAACACAGAGGGTAAGAATGCCTGGGACTATTCCTCCAGCCCCCTTAAACCCAGTGCTGCTACTGATCCGTGGTGGCAAGGGAGCCTCCGTGTTCACCCCACCCCCCCAAGGCCCCAGGGACGGGAAAGAAGAAAGATGAACACAAGATCCAGCGTCACGAGGGACGGACAAGGAGGTCAGCACAGACCAGGAACGGCAGCGGAGCCGCAAAGGGATGAGTGGACCACTCCAGGTGAGGGCACTGGAGCAAAGGCCTGAGGCAGGAGCGTGCCTGGCCTGTGTAAGGCCCACAAGGTGGCCAGGGTGGCGGGAGTGGGGAGCAGGAGGGGAAGTGGCAGGACAGACAGGCAAAGACAGAGCAGGAAATCAGGAGGAGGTTTCTACACTAGCCAATCATCTATCAAGCAAGCAGGTGAGCAAAGGTGGCACTTGGGCACTGGCATGAGCGGGCAGAAGGGACAATTCTGCGGACCTTTGAAGGCAGGGTCCACACAATTCAACAGCCCAGACAGCGGTGTGAGAGGAAGACAAGGATGAAGGCTGGAGTCCTGAGGAACCCGGGTCAGGGGGGTGCCATTCACTGAAAGGATCTCGGAGCTGCCCCGGGGAGCCCGCAAGGAACGGCCAGGTGGGAGGGTGCAGACAGCAGAAGTTCAGCTTCAGACACTTCAGGCAGAGATGCTGCTGCACGTCACCTGGAGAGGCCAGGAGGCAGCAAGGAGGCCACCACAGGAGCTCCAACACACACCTAAGATAGGCTTCAGAAGAGAGAATGGAGAGAACATAGGGAAGGAAACACAGCAAAGAGCAGAATTCCCTCAAGATGAAGAAAGTGTCAAACTTTCAGATCAAAAGTCTTACCAAGTATCAAGCAAGAATAAAGAAAAAGTCACCTAAATACAGCCTGCAAAGATTTCTGAACTCCAAAGATGAGAGAGAAAAAAAAATCAGGTTGCTGGTAGCAAAATTCACTTCAAAATAAAGCTAGATAACAATGGATACAGGCCTGGAAAGTAAAAGTTCTCAGAGGAAAAAGCTGTACCATCATTAAGATATGAGGGAAAAATAAATATAATACATGCAAGGACTCAAAGAATAAAATTTACACATCCTTCCGGAGGAGCTAGTAAAAAATATATTTCAGCAGCCGAAAAATAAGCACAGGAAAGGAGAAGAAACTGGATATAAAAATAATGGAGATTTAACAAAAGAAGTGCAAGACTTGTGAACTGAAAACTACAAAATACTGTTGAAAGAAACTGAAGACCTAAATAAATAGGAAGATATTCCATACTCATAAGTCAGAAGAATTAATATTGTTAAGATGGCAATACTCCCCAAATTGATCTACGGATTCAACAGGATTTCTTTCAAAATTTCAGCTCGCTTTTTTTTTCACCCCAGAAATTGACAATCTTAGAAAACAAGAACAAAGTCCAAGGATTCACACTTCCTAATTGCAAAACAAAGCTACAAAATACTCTAAAACTACAAAAATCAAGACAATGTGGTACTGGCGTAAGGACAGACGTATAGATCGATGGAATGGAGAATTGACAGTCCAGAAATAAACCCTTACATCTATATGAATTAATTTTCAACAAAGGTGTCCAGATAATTCAATGTGGAAAGAATAAGAGCAGAAACCATAAAATCAAAAACAGATGATCAATAAGGAAAATTAATAAAGCAATAGCTGGTTCTTTGAAAAAGATCAATAAAATTGATAAAACTCTTTGCCAGGCTGATCAGGAAAATAACAGTCACAAGTTATTTACTTGTGATTTTTTGTTGTTCTTAGGTACTGTCAAGTGGATTCCGACTCATAGTTGCCCTATGTACAACAAAATGAAACACTGCCCGCTCCTGTGTCATGCTCACAATCATTGTTATGCTTGAGCCCACTGACGTAGCCACTGTGTCAATCCATCTCGTTGAGGATCTTCCTCTTTTTCACTGACCCTCTACTTTACCAAGCATGATGTCCTTCTCAAGGGACTGGTCCCTCCTGATAACATGTCCAGCGTATGTGAGATGCAGTTTTGCCATCCTTACTTTCAAGGAGCATTCTGGCTGTACTTCTTCCAAGACAGATTTGTTGGTTCTTTTGGAAGTCCATCGTATATTCAATATTCTTCGCCAACACCACAATTCAAAGGGGTCAATTCTTCTTCAGTCTTCCTTATTCATCATCCAGCTTTCACATGAGTATGAGGTGACTGAAAACATTACGGCTTGGGTCAGGCACATCTTAGTCTTCAAGGTGACACCTTTGCTTTTCAACACTTTAAAGAGGTCTTTTGCAGCAGATTTGCCCAATGCAAAGCAACATATGATTTCTTGACTGCTGCTTCCATGAGTGTTGATTGTAGATCCAAGTAAAATTGTTTTCTTTATGTTGAGGTATAATCTATACTGAAGGCTGCGGTCTTGATCTTCATTAGTAATTGCTTCAAGTCCTCTTCGTTTTCAGTAAGCAAGGTTGTGTCATCTGCATATCGCAGGTTGTTAATGAGTCTTCCTCCAATCCTGATGCCACGTTCTTCTTTGTATAGTACGAATTCTCAGATTATTTGCTCAGCATAGAGATTTAATAAGTATGGTGAAAGGATACAACCCTGACACACCTTTCTTGACTTTAAACCACGCAGTACCCCCTTATTCTGTTCAACGACTGCCTCTTGGTCTAAGTACAGGTTCCTCATGAGCACAGTTAAGTGTTCTGGAATTCCCATTCTTTGTAACGTTATCCATAATTTGTTATGATCCACACAGTCGAATGCCTTTGCAAAGTCAATAAAACACAGGTAAACATCTCTCTGGTATTCTCTGCTTGCATCCAGGATCCATCTGACATCAGCAATGATGTCCCTGGTTCCATGTTCTCTTCTGAATCCAGCTTGAATTTCTGGCAGTTCCCTGTCGATGTACTGCTGAAACTTGCTCTTGAATGTTGAGTAGCTAAAGTGAAAGAAATGATGAAGTAAAAGAGCTGAACAGAAGATTTCAAAGGATGGCTTGAGAAGACAAAGAAAAGTGCTATAATGAAATGTGCAAAGACCTAGAGATAGAAAATTGAAAGGGAAGAACACGCTCAGCCATTTGTTAAGCTGAAAGAACTGAAGAAAAAATTCAAGCCCCAAGTTTCAATACGGAACGATTTCACAGGAAAAATACCAAATAATGCAGGAAGCATCTAAAGAAGACAGAAGGCATACAAAGTCACTGTACCAAAAAGGATTGGTCGATATTCAGTCAATTTCAGGAAGTATCATATGATCAAGAACCGATGGTAATGAAGAAAGAGGTCCAAGCTGTACTGAAGGCATTGGTGAAAAACAAGGCTCCAGATATTGACGGAATACCAACTGAGATGTTTCAACAAACGGATGCAGCGCTGGAAGTGCTCACTCGTCTGTGCCAAGAAATTTGCAAGACGGCTATCCGACCAACCAACTGGAAGAGATCCATATTTACTCCTATTCCCAAGAAAGGTGATCCTACCGAATGCAGAAATTATCAAACAGTATCATTAATACCACAAACAAGTAAAATTTTGCTGAAGATCATTCAAAAGCAGTTGCAGTAGTACACTGACAGGGAACTGCCAGAAATTCCAGCCAGATTCAGAAGAGGATATGGAACAAAGGATATCATTGCTGATATCAGATGGATCCTAGCTGAAAGCAGAGCATACCAGAAAGATGTTTGCCTGTGTTTTATTAACTATGCAAAGGCATTCGACTGTGTGGATCATAACAAATTATGGATAACATTGCGAAGAATGGGAATTCCAGAACACTTAACTGTGCTCATGAGGAACCTGTACTTAGACCAAGAGGCAGTCGTTCGAACAGAACAAGGCGATACCGTGTGGTTTAAAGTCAGGAAAGGTGCGTGTCAGGGTTTTATCCTCTCATCATACTTATTCAGTCTGTACGCTGAGCAAATAATCCGAGAGGCTGGACTACATGAAGAAGAACGGAGCATCAAGATTGGAGGAAGACTCATTAACAGCCTGCGACATGCAGATGACACAATATTGCTTGCTGAAAATGAAGAGGACTTGAAGCGCTTACTGATGAAGATCAAAGACCACAGCCTTCAGTATGGATTACACCTCAACATAAAGAAAACAAAAATTCTCACAACTGGACCCATAAGCAACATCATGATAAACGGAGAAAAGATTGAAGTTGTCAAGGATTTCATTTTACTCGGATCCGCAATCAACACCCATGGAAGCAGCAGTCAAGAAATCAGATGACGCATTGCACTGGGCAAATCTGCTGCAAAAGATCTCTTCAAAGTATAAAAAAGCAAAGATGTCACTTTAAGGATTAAGTTGCGTCTGACCCAACCCATGGTGTTTTCAATTGCCTCCTATGCCTGCAAAAGCTGGACAATGAATAAGGAAGAGTGAAGAAGAATTGACGCCTTTGAATTATGTTGTTGGCGAAGGATATTGAATATACTATGCACTGCCAGAAGAACAAACAAATCCATCTTGGAAGAAGTACAGCCAGAATGCTTATTAGAAGCGAGGACAGTGAGACTTTGTCTCACATACTTTGGACATGTTATCAGGAGGTTACAGTCTCTGGAGAAGGACATTATGCTTGGGAGAGTAGAGGGTCAAAGAAAAAGAGGAAGGTCCTCAATGATGGACTGACACAGTGGCTACAACAATGGGCTCAAGCATAATGATTGTGAGGAGGCACAAGACCAGGCAGTGTTTCCTTCTATTGTTCATAGGGTCACCAGGAGTCAGAACCAACCCGACAGCACCTACCACCAACAACCTAGACAATGGGGAAAGAAAACTCAACCAATGTACAACCAATCAGAGAGGTCCAACTAGCATTAAAGAGGCCTTGTAAATAGCAAACATACTGAAAACAAACATATCGGTGAGCAAAATTAATGTGAGTTAAGTGAACACATTAACAACATGGCTCAGACAGTTTAAAACAGAGAAACGTACCAAAGTGTGAAAGCAAACGTTAAGAAAAAGAAAGTAACAGGAAAAAACAGAATTCCAAATAAGACACCTGTGCTGGATTACGAGGATATCTCACACTAACGAAAAAGAATCTACCGAGAAGACTTAATGGTCCCGGACCCGTAAGCATTATACCATGAAGCATGGACAAGTACAAGGCAGAAGCTGTTGGAAATACGGGAAAGAAAGTGATCCCTCCACAATCACAGTGGAGGACTTCGGAAGTCAACAGAGGGTACAGCCAGAAAGACAGAGGGAAAAAAAAAAGACGTGACTTAGAAGTTTTGCAGAAAACAGTTGACAAGCTTGTATCTAACAAATTATACAAATTGTTTTTCCATACTAGTGGAACAGTAGTAGCAATTAACCATGTTACATTTCACAAAGTGGTTCAAGAAGTAGGTATGGTACAAGTCAGATTTCATATAACTTTTCAAAAATATATAAATTTGGAAATTTCAAAGTATTCTTCTAACTCCTACCTTACACCAAACACAAACAGAAGATGAACCGCAGACCTGGATGTGAAAGGTAAAACAATTAACGTTTAGAAGAAAACACAAGAGAACTTTTCCATGTGCTTGGGGTAGGCAAAGATTTCTTAAACAGGAAACAAAGCAAGTCAACCATAAGGAAATTTCAATAAGAACTTCATTAGATGACACCCTTAAAAGAGTTAAAAGGCCACCTACAGAATAGGAAAAGATATTTGCAATATACACCCCAAAAAGAACCTGTATCCAATACGTGTAAAGACTAAAATCAATACAAGAAAACAGACAACGTAATAGGAAAATAGGCAGTAGACTTGAATCAGAGCCCTGGTGGCACAGTGGTTAAGAGCTACGGCTGCTAACCAAAAAGGCAGCGGTTCGAATCCACCAGCCACTCCTTGGAAACCCTATAGGGCAGTTCTACTCTGTTCTATAGGGTCACTATGGGTCGGAATCGACTCTACGGCAATGGGTATCACGGGTAGACTTGAATAGTCACTTCATAAAGATGGTGTCCAGGTAGCCAGTAAACAAAGCAAAATGCTCGACATTAATACCACAAAGACATGGAAGCATCAGGGGAAAGCAGTCTAAATTCACAACACATCTATCCAACTGAGAACGTACATCCAGTACTCACAAAGCACTCAGATGCAGAACACAAACAGTCCCACAAATCAGTGAAGAAAAGCAAGACACCCCAACAGAAAAAAAGGAGGCAGAAGACATGAACAGTCTCCCACGAGGGTCGGCCAAATGGCCCGTAAACACGGGAGCGGGTGCTCATGTCGGGACTCAGCCACCAGGAGATCCCACTGCAGACCCGCCAGTGCAGGGGAGGTGAGGAGACAGGTGGGGATGAGAGAAAAGACAGGGAAAGAGAAGGGGGAGGGAGAGGAGAGGAGGGGGAAGGGAAGAGGAGGGGGAGGAGAGGAGAGGAAGGGGAGCATCAGATGCAGAGATCCAGATGCATGGACGAGAGTCTCCCCACCCACCCAGCCCACCGGCCCACAGCACACACAGCCACAAGCTCAATGGCGAGGTGGTCACCCTGGGGACACTGGAAGGCCACTGGGAGTGCCTGCTGACTTGCTTGCTTCTCAGTTTGTCTCGTGGGGCTCTCCCTCCAGGCGAGTGGAGGCAGTCAGGAGAAGCCTTGGAGGGCCTGTGGGTCCAAACCTATGAGCCGTGCAGTCAGAGCCTAAGAGGCAGGCCCGTCCCTCCCGGGCATGCTAGAGGGCACAGTGTGGGCACACAGGAGCCCCTGGAGCAGCCATGGGTCAGCCAGGCGTGAGCTGCACGTTGGAGGCCCCCACGCCCAGATCCGGCTCTGGACCAGCAAGGTCTTGGAGCTCCTCCGAGCTCACACTGTACGCCTGGTGCTGCATTCCAAGAGCCAGTACCTCCTTGTTCTCCTCCTTGTCCACGGCCGTCCACACAAAGCCGAAGGCCCCACTGCCGAGGGAGCTCAGCGTGCTGTACTTGTGGGAGTACGCGCCCTCGCAGGCCGCCAGCCCCTCCAGCTCGGCCACTTTAGGGGGCTCCTCAAACCAGGGCTTGGCTTTGAGCACCTGTGAAGGCGAGAACGGTCTGAGCCCCAGAGGTGCACGCGGCACATCCTGTCCTCCTGTCAGGTGGCCACTGCAGTCCCCTCACGCACACTGTAACACCCCACGCCCTGCGCCTCCCCACCACTGCACCCCATGACTCCACACCCCGCACTCCACGCCTCCCCACCACTACACCCCATGACTCCACAACCCACACCCCTCACCCTCCCTACCACTGCACCCCATGACTCCACACCCTGCACCCCATGCGTCCCCGCAACTGCATCCCATGACTCC